CCAAAAATTCGTCCCGGGCTGATATCATATTTCCGATCGCTTTTTCCAAAGAAAGGAGAAGCAGTCTACAACCGCTCAGGAAATTTGCAAAATTTCCAAAAAAATATCGCGACTTTCCGCAGCATTTCGGTGATCGCGCGACATTCCAGCGAGCGCGGTGCATTACGTATCTTTGAAATCACATGAATCACGCAAATTACGCACCGCCAACTTTCTTCGGAATGAAGATATTCGGAATTCGAATACATCAACGCGAATTTATTGAATTAGCATATCCCTGGGTATTTCGTTTTCAGTATTTTGAATTTTTGCGGACGTCTCTTCGCAAGGGCGGTTCCATGGTAGTTTGCAAAAGAAAGTAAAGCGAAACAGTGTAGGCAAGGTTTGTCGATTTATATCGTATTTGGCATGTGTTTACGGTATTTAAACACAAATTAAATATTATTAGCAAGAAACTTAACTCAACACCTTACCACCTAAGACGTATCTGTTCTACAACCAAAGCTGTGAACAAGCTTCTCGAATAACTCTGCATCGCAGTGCTCCAGGACTTTCTACTTCGACTACGAAAATATATCGAAAATCCGAATCTGGAAGAATTTCGTAGCTTTCCCAGAACAATGTAAGTGTTTGCCAGTTTAGAGCTTCTTTGCCTCACCATCCTTCGTGGTTTTAGATATAACGAAAGCTACTACGAGCTTATTATATAAAAAAGAAATTTTTCTGCATATTATCGTAGGACTAAGGTAGGAGCTTCGAGTGTTTCGTTCTTGGAGATGCACTTGTTCTAAAATTGAGAAGGATAATTGAAAGTTTACAGTCAGGCTGTCATACCCGTACTGATTTCACATACCACTAAGCGTCTTGCATATTACTAACTTTACTGTAACAGCAGTATCGTTTGGCGCAATAATTATATCATTTGAACATATACAGTCTCACACAAATGTAACAAAACATGCGTTCCTAAAATTGAGTATTCTATGATAAACAGCTGACAGAAATACGTAATTTATATCAAATAGTACACATCATCTGTGTACAAAACATAAAATGCCATTTGACTCAGCTAGCAGTCAGATCACATGCTTATACACTGTGAATTAGCACAATCCAGTGTACTTCTTAAGGTGAGGAACACCTCTATTAACATAAAGAATTATAAAGAGAAACAGTGCATTAAAGAGGCATTTTCAATGCAAACTTAAAGGATCCCACACTAGATTTTGTACAATATATGAGCAGTAATATTGCATTTTTCCAATTTCTGCGTCCTAATAATTACAATACCTCCCGCATTTTTGAAAAAGCGACGCAAAGACGCCCGATTCATGTGACATCACCGCAGCGTGGCCATACCTCGCTTCAGAGTGGACGAATTCTTAATTCAAGGGCACCTTTCGACTCAGCTCGATGCTCATTATAAAATCTTAGTTCATGAGCGTGGTTAACGGTAGCAAACAACCCTACTATTCCCCCCCCCCCGCCAACTCCAAAGAAAAAAGCTTCCCAACCGCCATTAGCATCTAACATCTTATCACGAACAGTATGGTTTTAGGTCAGATATATGTATGTGACCAGAAAATGAGGAAAAGTTCAGCGAAACGACAATTATTATCGAAGAAAATAAAGGTAAATGAAGGAATCGTCGTCGACCATGCTTGTATCCTTATCAATCGGGGCACAGGCAGTGATCCACATAGTCGATAGATCGGAAGATCGCTGAAGTTATCTTATTACTGTAATTGAAAAATTGTTAAAGAATTCTTTTTTTTTGCGAAACCATCAAACCATCACATGTGGTGTTTTAAGCGAAAGCAGTTATAATCCGTTTTTCATGCAAAATACCCGAAAAACAATTTTTTCCTCGGACATTCGAATTGAAAGAGCACACTGCTTAAATTGCAAACATTTATCTACAAATTTCTTACGAATATAATCGCGTTGTGTTGTTCGCTATGCTGAATTATAATCCGATTTAGGCTACAAATTAACGGAGCTCACTGGCAAGTAACCCGAAACGATGAATGGTAAGCTATAAAAATTTTTGTTTGATATATCAGGAGCAATAGGAAAGTCAGTACCCTTGGAATTTAACGTAGATTTCTTTACGATGACATGATGTTCGAAAATTCTGTATTTTAATAAAGTAACTAACGACTTAGCTCTAGCTGTTGTACCATTTTGAGCTTTAAGATGTTGTGTTCAGAGGCATCATCCGATCAAACCTTCGTCTCTTCCATATTTTTGTCATCCTGGAGCCTTTCCGTGGCCCAATTACAGATGTGCACTGTAAAATGTGCAAAACCCTTGAAAAGCCCAATTTCTGGGAGCTCTATTAGCACAGAGACGACTTCCAGTGTCTGAATGGGCAGAGTTTGATAGGGTGGGCGTGGCTTGATAGCACTTCGCGGGTTCCGTGACCATCTTTCCTTTCAGAGGCCGAAATGGAGAACCGTATCAACGCAGATGCCCCTATCCTGAAACCTGCTATCTGGCTAGGTATAATTAGGGGAAGCATAGCTTTTGTCTGCCTCAATAAGAATAAAAAAAATTGCACGAACAAGCATGCTCTGTGTGGCTGTGCTTTAACGCCTTGACGGCCGCGTGCATACGCGCGTATGCACGTCCTGACTCCCGTTTAGCACTTTCCTACTTCAATTTTTCATGTGTAAACGTAAGTTCTAAAGTGACTTTTATGTAGTAATAATAACGGTTGTCATATAGAACACTGGGCATCGCGGCAGCTGCTCAGGAGTCTAAACCACAGATTTTAATACTTAGTCCATTCTGATGTGGTCCAAAATGCCTCGGTCGTCTATTAATTGCTGATTTGAAGTACCAGAAGAGCAAGTATCGTAGTGAGACTCTTTCAAGTGAACTCCACAGACATGAGAGGAGAATCCTATTCTTTTTTCTGCATCCACCCCACACACTCATGTGTTCCGCATGAACAAGCATATTTCACATCCAGTGTTTCGATAAAAATAGAAATTCTTGTTAAGAGTTTGAGCTGTATTGTTCATCAGTGCCGATGTCACTCACAACTTTCTTCTTGTTTAGCAAGGAAGAAGATCAAATTCAACCACCTCTAATAATAAGACCCCGTTCAAATTGTCTGCAGATTGGTACTTATCCGTACTCGAAGCAAGTCTCTGATAAGAGATAAAGGTATAGCCAGATACTGATTGGATTGATCGTCAATTACTTTTGAAGCGCCAGATCTTTCTTGTTCTATAGGGATTCACCTACAAATCACTAAATAGACACATACATGTTTGTTCAGGCAGATTCTGGTTGCGAAAGTGGTAAGAGTAAATATTTTGCATTTATTCAATTTAAACGGCCATAATTTGGCTTTTCAAACACTTTTACAACTGCTGACTTCCGGCAAATTTTTATACATATAATTCACACTCAAACTCGGCGAAAACCCAACATGAAAAGAGTTGGGATAGCTGAATTCTCGGCGAAAATTCTCTCTGAAACTAAGATTTGAAACTGCCACTTTTGTGATCATTTATTCAAGCACACATACATCGATATTCCACACTTTCATAGTCTTCCTTTTTCGAAGCGGAAAACAACTGAGACATTTTTTATTCCTCAAACTTGCTCTAACAGTAGTAAAAATTCTACGACTATGGCTACTTATAATATCTTTGAAATTTTACTTATTTTCAAAATACAGCAGTGATGTGATACTGGTAGCGGCATCAATTTATTACAAGGTTTTTTTAGCATTTAGTGAGGAGGTCATGATTGTATTAGAGGAACGTGATGACACGTACATGGTTGCAAAAAAGGAAACCTCGTGAGAAACTCAAGTAAATTATTTCTGTGCAGAAGAACTGAGGATGTTCTTGTTCATTTTGAGGTGTCCAGAGTAATAAACATCAGCATTACTCACCAGATTAAACTCTATTTAGAACTGATTTATTTCGAAAAAAATTCTGTGTGTGATCTAACTCCTTGTTCTACTTCGTAGACAAATTTTTTTTTCTGAAAGCAAACAACCTGAGATTATTTCTTCATGTTCTCAACAATCTTGGACAACAACAAGACATAGACTTCTATACGAACTTTACAGCTGCCCCCAGAAATGAGTGATACTATTAGGTTGGCTAAAAATAATTTCTTTCGGCAACAAATCTCCAAAAAACTTTTCTTGTCGTTTTTTATCCATCATTTTGAGAAGGTTGTAGTTTAAAACTTCTATTATCACATACAACTCAGAATTTTCAATCATCAGTGAAAGATAGTTATGCTCCAATATGGCCAAGTTTTTAAAAGCTCAGTTCATTGAATTAACAATCTTCGTTTTCGTGCTGGGTTGGATGTAGAGATGAAATTTGGGGTTGCAAACACAGTTTTCCCTATTTAGCGAATAACAACAAAATTGTGATTTGTCATTTTGAAACTCTTTGATCAGAAAAAGCCTTCTCTGTACCATATTGGTCCCAGCTTCACAGGAAGAAGTATCAACTTTCGCTATGTTTAAAAAAGTTTGGCATGCCATCTACATATTTGTCACTTTTCCCGGACACGTGGCAGGGAGGCAGGAATAGTAGAATCTTTGAAAAATTGTTTTCAGACTAATGAACGTATTTTATGAGCAGTTTTCAAAGAAAAAAGGTCTGGATAACGGAAACGGAAAGTACCAAAATTTTTCTAAAACTTCCATAGATTCTACTCAGACAGAACGACATCCCAATTCTAATTGAAGTGCTCTTTCCACAGATATCAAATATCGAGCAAAAATATGTTTGCAGCACTTGCAGGAACCGCAAAAGCGACCGGAACTATTTATTTGCTCGATATTTCAGACAACATAATTAACGACGAAAAGGAGTCATAATATTGTAAAAAAAATGCCATCTGTAAGTACAAACAGGTTTTCTAGTAGAAAATTTCCCTACATATTCTGCAACCATAAAAAAATTCCAAATATCAGCCACATGACCATTGTACGGCACGGACAGCGATGCCTCACTGCAGCAGCGGAATCAATTCCAACCCTGCAGCCGACCAGATACGCAGCGAATTTCCCGTCTGAGTATCATCACTTTTCACGACTTTCTATTCCGCTGGAACTGAAGAAATTGATGTAAATGGATTGAGGTGAATAATTTATCCATTTTTGACTGGAAGTTGGCATATTATAAGACTGACAAAGCTTTATGAACAATTTCGTATGCGCTTCTGCATTTTTGCCTGAAATTGGTGAAAAAATTTGCTTATTTTGACATAGTTAAAAATTCTGATTCTCTCAGTTTTTGTTATTATTCGAAATTACAAAACTTTCTGTTTTTTGAATGAAAAGGCTGAAAGTTTCTTGAAAAGTTTAGAACTTCCTTGCATCGTTTCCTTCGAATGTTGTTTCAATTGTTTGAGCTAAAATTCTAGTAGTTTCTTACTCTCCAAGAAGAAATAACGATTCATAGATTACTCTCCCCTCCCCTGCCTCCTCCCCCCTCTTGCTTTTGCAGTTTGTAAACGTCAGAGGTTGTGCAATCGCAAAGTGCACAAAAGTGCAAAAGTCGCGGCGCGTATTTATTAGTTTGAAAAAACTAAAAAATACCTTATAAGGAAAAATCGCTTTGTCTTGTGTAATGACACAAAAGAGGCTAATCAAATAGGGCCAAAGTAGAAAAACGAAACCTCACAGTAATACTTCAAAAATTAAAAAAAACTGATTGCGTTAACTAATTTCTTTTCCATAGAATACCTAAACTAAATGAGTTGTCGAATGATTGACGTCAATTCTTCAACCGAATCTTCGGTGATTGCTACATTTATGATTTAACATGCCTCAATCCTTGCAATTGTAATATTTTACAAGCATAGGTAAATGCCAGATAAATATCTTCTATTGAAGCCATGCGATTGCTTGGATATTCAATATAACCTTTGTTGATATGTTGAAGGAATCTTTTTATTATAAATCAACTTGAGCAAAGCGATCTACTCTGGAGGAGTTGATATTGGGTTGGCGCGAAAGTTCTCGGACATTTTCAGACTAATTCTGGTTTTTCCGGGGACTAATATATGTATGTGCGAGAAAATATGCCTATGCTCTTTTTCGCATGTAGCTAATATTTAAGCGAAAGGGGGGGGGGGAGACAGTTTAGCGCCAGTGGGGTGGAGTCTAGGAGCAACAGGGGCGGAGCTTGCCACTTTTTGCCACTTAATACCTTGTTTTTTTTGTTTAAGCTTCCCACCCGGAGCCACCCTGATAATATGCTGTCACTGTGCTAATTTAGAGTGCATGTTCACTCAGATTTATAGTTTATTTGATCCAAATTCAGAAGAAACGGTGGCGATGATTACAGCCAAGCAAATTATTCAAAATAGATTAGCATAATTTCCAAAAATCAAGCGACACTATGGTGTTGTACACTTGATGCAGTCCAAAACTGTTACATGAAAATGTTTTTTCATGAAAGCAAGCTAGCAACGCGCATATACTTAGTTTTTGTTAATTAACCGATGCCTACTAAACCGATGCAGAAAAGTTGTGTTTTTGGACGAATAATTGCTTAATTTTGTCATAAAACCGTGGCACCTGCAGGACCTGCCAAAGTTTTGATCTGAATCATCGCTTTTGAATTATTCAAAAAATTCCAAATCAATAAAACATCTACTAAAGCAGTTTCCTTCCAGAAGACGGCTACATTTGGCAGAAAAGTTTTCGAGGAAAAAAATTTAAAAAGGCGCAATAGGCTCGACAAATCATAAGAATCAACAAAGCTTTGTACTGTGCTTTCATAAACTTTCCTAAAGTCTGCAGAGTATAAATATTTTTCCAAGAATGACTCAATAATTTCCCTGGGCGGAGATCAATGATACATACAATTATCTTGTTAACACAGCAAATTGCCTTTCTCCCACGTATGTGGATTCTTCTGAATTGTTTTCATGGATTATGATTTCGCTGGTTTAATTCTTGCATAGAATAATTATTGTTATTTTGTAATTTTATTTTGATTTGTTTTCTCATTTTAATTATTTATTTATTTTTTCGTTTTTTTGCTTATTTTTTCTGTTTCTCAGTTAAAGGCATGCGCTCAATCGCTTTCTCATCTTACACATATTCAGTTTGTATATTTGTATTAGCAGCGACAATCAAGTATGTGAAACTACGGCAGATTATTAGGTTTTTACACAAGTTTTATTACACTCAACGAAAAAATCGTTCTAATTTCTCCAATTTTTTCTTCATTTTCAATGTTGTGAATTCCTAACATATACAGGTCGCTGTGAGAAAACAAAAATCGAATTTTTTGAAAACTTTTCGAATCTTTTGGCAAATATCCAACTTGCGTTATTGAAAAGCTCAAACCTCCGGATTACCTTCGCATTATTGCTGATGCTCCCGGGAAACCGTAAAAAATCTGAAATTCAAAAAATTAAAAAGAAATAGAAGAAAATGGAGGTTGAAGTGAACTCATGTCCGTAAAGGCCAAAATGATGCCAGCGGATATTCCTTTATCCCTTTTCCATACGCGCCAGTTATGCGACTTTGTCGAATATTCTAGAATTTTCCAAAGAGATGACGGAAATGTTGCAAAACTTAAGTAAAAACGTGATAGAATGGGAATGCGTTTGCTCAAGTACGGGGTTTCATACCTTTCTATGTACATATAGCTTTTTCGTAGAAGTGCTAATTAGCTTGCTAGCTCCAAATATGTCTTCCCCTTCGCATCGTAAATCAAAATTTTCATACTCTACCCAACACTTCCAATGATTAAATTTATAATGTTGTAATTTCTATCAGGTCAGCTTTTTGAACTTTGGGCCTGACATCGATGTCCGCATGGAATCTGACGCTGAAAAGCCGATTAGAATTCGAAAACAGCTTATCTACGTAGTAGACAGAAATAGCTCAGTGCAGCATCTCGAAATAGATCCAAAACTATTAGTTATGCATCACACGCACGATTTACGTAACACTCTCACGTTGGATGTTAGCAACAACTCTGATCACAGCATCCGTCTGCTTACGTAAATCTTCATTGGCGATGAATAAGAAATTACAATGAGTTTGCATCTGGTACCGTCAGCATTTTTTTTTCATAGAAAATTGCAACTGGCAGTCGAATAAATTTTCCGCTCAATATAGTGTGTTTGCGGTGGCGAGAAAATGCGATAAAATTTGCGCGTGAACGATCTACGCCTGTGATGCCGGCCACTTGCGCGCGCAATATGCCGGCAACGCTGGCGTGGCTATTTGTTCACTTTCTTGGCGCAGCAAGCACACTATATTAAGTGGAAAATCTGATTGTAATGGACGTCATTAACCAGTTAAGCTATTTTTCTAATTTCACCATTAATAGAAATGCTCTAGGTCGTTCTTCCTAATCTTCCTTATGAATCATTCTAATTTTCTTTTCGATTTGAACGAGCAATCCTTGACACGTCTTTAATAGGGCACAATTTCGCTATACTTTTTCTTCTCAAAGACAAGAAAAATTGCTCAGTTTCTATGGATGAATTCTTGAACAAAGAAAATTAGAACTCTAAGATACCAACATTTTATACAACTCTACCATTAAGCTGGCTAAAAAATAAGCTTATCGTTTGAGCGGTATATAGAAATGCTACAGATCAACTTTCGGGTAAACTATGGTACTATTGGAAAAGCAAATCAAGAAGAATCGAATTGTAAACTCTCTTTTTTTACAAAAGTTTTTTTTGGCTAGCTTAGTGGAGCAGTAAAGGAATAGTGATTTCTCTCTCGAATTTTTGAGAAATGATGCTCCAAAAAAGCGAACTAAAGATAGATGCAAATTGTACATTTGGTACCCACACAACAAATCATCTGCCTACAAAAACTTAGACAAATAGTTGCCACCTGGATTATAATACAGCTTTGAATTGGCAGGTCAAAACGAAGTTATTTTTTAGCCAAACGAATAGCTACATATCGATATCACTCATAGACTGTTGATTTTTTGGATGTAATTTTATTGCTTCCATTTCACTTCGACATGATTTAGATGATATTTATTCAGTAGTTCTTCTTTTGAATGCAGACGTCTCAATTTTATTAAAAATCAATAAGCCCTATTTTCAAGCTTTATGTAGCCTCTCTCATGTCACAATGTATCCCATAAGGAATACCTCAAAATACGACTGCTTTCAACCAGCTTTTGGAACAAAGGAAAGTTACTCTTATGCTCAAAATATAAATTTAGATCACTAAAACTTTGCTAGCAACCATCTCAAGGCTTTGATCTTGTTTTCATCTTTGCCAAATTCCACACATGCGAACATCCCACTGGTCGTCTAGGCAACGGCTGTGCATTAGTTAATCAGTCGTAAATCTTCTTCGCCTCATTTTAGGTCTTCCACATGGGCCGATATGTTTAGTATACATAGCTTACGTTGACGTATTTATTCTGTATCTCATGAAATTCCATAGAGTTCTATAGTTATAACATATAATCACTTAGAACTACAATGCCAGGCCGCGGTAATCCGCTAAGTTTTGATGCGCTTTTTCTCACGATATAAACTCATCCTCAAATAGTTTTGCTTGCTTAAGGAAAAGCCACTGATATCTTCTTCTCATCTAATATTTTGCTTTTACCAATTTCAGTTTTCTAGCAACCGATAATGGAAGCTCGCGAGATGTTTTGGAAGCAACTGCGTGAGCACATAGAAAACTATGGGGCAACCATGATTATCGTCACCATATCTGTCAGTTATTCCTTTGTGGAACTTTAGATTGATATTTTCAGCAATATTTGCATTTAGACTGGTTTATTTATCGGATACTTCATGCACTACATAATGAATGTGAGGCCTATGAAGCAGAGGCTCAAAGTCGACGGAATAGAGCAAACAGAGGATGAAGAGGAGTCGAAATGTAAGTAAATGGTCGCTCTAGAAATAAACCTCAAACATCTTCGAGAATATTTACAATCCAGTAGATTTTCCGCTTGATATAGTGGGGAGGGAGACTTTTCATACGATCGGGGATTTCGCACCTATCCTTCGCACCTATTACACCTACTTCGCACCTCTCGTCCCATGTAGTGAAACAGATTCTCCACTACGGCCGGAGGAAGGGGGGGGGGAGGGAGAACTTCTTAAATGTAGTCTCTATAATCATCTTGACCTTTGGCGGTATGCCAGGATGCTAATATCACCACCAACTATCGATTACGACGGACACAAAAATCTTTTTTGATCAAAAGTGTACTAGATAAATATTTGTAAGGCATACAACTGAATACAATCACATTTTTGACTTACTTTTAAGAAAAATTCTAGATGCTTCTATTTCTTTTCCTCCAGGTCATTGAAAGAACTATGAAGTGTATTAGATTTATATCGAAATAAAATTTCACAGTAAAATGCAGAATGTTCTGACTTAAAATAGCCATACTTTCATAGGAGAGGAGTGTCTTTTCAGAGAGAATTGCAGATGACTTGAATGGAAAAGAGAAAAGTGAAATCATCGTGGGCGATAAGATCTTTCAGGAGTAGTTCATTTTTTCATTTTTGTATTACGATGTTGTTGTTTTTTTTAACAAAATGCTTAATCTGTGCATGCAGCCTTCAAATTTTTCTGATCTCGCGATACTGCAGCTGTAGATGATCCATATTTTAGGTATGGAGCCAGCAGGACCATATCTAGTATAGTACCAATATTGGATTGTTGCCAAAAGGGTCATGATATATGGGAGCATCGTATGAAAAGTCCCTCTCCCCCTCCCCCTTCCCACAGTATAAAAGACGCGGACGTGCGAGACTTCACACCTGGCCGTAGGTGTTCACAACTCGTGTCTCAGAATTGCTCATCGTATGAAAAGTCACTCCCCGATATAGTGTGCTTGCGGTGCCGAGACTTTGCTTTGAAAGTTACGCTTGAACGAATACTGCGCCTAAAATGCCAATATGATTGTTACGTTTTATTTTAATAAATGCTTATCACACAGTTATCAAGTGCATGCTGATCTTTTGAGTAACCGTAAATTTCTAGATCAACTTCAAGGTGATTAAGCCAGCGGTGTCACAATTTGCATTTTGATGTGCATTTATAGCACAACTCTCTCTCTATCACTGTACAAGTTTTGCGATTTTTTGCAGCCTTGTGAAGACTTCAAAGAGAAAATTACAAGGTTTTTGGAGCTGAATCCCATAAGGAAAACTCAAGGAAATGAATCTCTTGTCTTTCAAGGCATATCTCGAACGAAGTCGCTTCTATGAAAAGTAAACAGAAGTAAGTGACTAGAAAAGTAGAGCTTTTAGACGTTGTAAAAAATTTTTTGTAGAAAATATCTTTCTCTTTGTGACACACATTTCAAGGAAAAGGCACGAAAAGGGCAAAAAATCAAAAAACTACGAAGAAACCTGATTTTTGCTGAATTGATGATTTCTGGGTACAATGAGCACAATAAAACAAAGCCCGTCAAAATTTGTGGAAGGACTTTAGACAAGAAAATTTACGAACACCCTATAATTTGTTTCTAGCCATTGTAAGTAAGCATTTGTTCACCTTCACCCCACCGAAATAATAAATTCATTTAAATTATAAAAATCAATCTTCCGTTTGTTCCCAATCATAATCTCGCTGTCTTTTTTCGTAGAACGTCGTCTCAGAATTACTCATCGCATTTAGCTACATTATTCTACACCTTTACAGCGAACAACGATTTGTGCAAGGTACAACCAGCTGAGAAGGAAGAGAAACAAGTTGGTGTCGTCAAGGGCATGATCAACACCGAAGTCGTAAGTAGCTGATTATATTGCCACATTTCGGTGAACTTCTGCTTAATATAGTGTGCTTGCGGTGCCGAGACCTAGCGGTGGAATTTGCACAAATTTGAACAAATAGCTGCGCTTGAAATGCCGACAATCTGCGCGCGCAAGTAGCCTGCATTACAGAATTAGCTATTTGTTCACGCGCAAATTCTACCGCAAACTCTCGGAACGCAAGCAACAGTATATCAGACGAAACATCTACTAGACTATGCGCAAATTTAAAAGGAATATTTCCTTTTCAATGGATTATTTTAGCTGGAATCGCTCCGCAGAAGACCACCTCCAGAACGCCCCCGAAGTACGCTTCCTGAGTTCAGAACGAGTAAATTTTGGTTGGCGATTATGCTCATTTCTAAAGTCGAGTCCGTTTAGTCCCGGAGAACAAAGCACTTTTCGAGGACCGTAGACAGGATAGCACAAGCTCAGATGTGGAGGATAACGATGACCTGGTAATTCAGAATTTTTTAAGGATTCCATTTTCCAGGATCTTCACATATGCTGTATTTTCTTCAGGTAGTCGTACAGAACAGTGGTAAGAAAAGATCGCAGAGCCTCCAGGAGGTAGGGGAAGTTTTCTTACAATTAAAGAGTCGGTGTCAACAACTGCTCCCTTTTCCGTAGTAGCTACGCAGTGCGTGGACATTGCGCAGCGTTCTTTCGTCGATGCGGCCTTGAACACGCAGCGTACGCCAGCGAACGCGTAACGGCGCTCTAGCGTTGCGCTTGAGGTGATCGGCAAGGGAGCATATCGTTGACACACACTATAGATAGGAAAGCCAAAATTGCAGAGATTTGACTCTATTTTCTTTGGTGAAAGCTCCACCAAAAATTTTGAGAAATTCTGATGCGAATATTTCCATTTATCGTCCACTTATCTTACCTCTTACAGAACTGTACACTTTCGGATCGGGACCTATTGCATACACTCGGAAATCTCCATGGTAAACTTGCCACTGCACAATTGAGAGCTAGAACGAGGAAAATGCAGGCTGATATGACAGCCGAAGAGAGGGATGACGTAAGTTCCATAAATACACTCTACAGAAATCTTTCTATGTAGCGCGAATCTTGAAGGGATTCCATATCAATGTCTTTAGCGCTTACGGCTTCCAATTGGTCGTGTCCAGAAATCCTGAACATTAGCTATCCTCAGGTTTTCCCAGATTCATTCCCCTTTGAAGCAGCATCCACCAACTCTTCGTTTTCCACGTTTTTGTCATTCTGGAGCTTTTCCATGGCTCCGATTACAGATATGATGTGCAAAATGTGCACCCCCCCCCACAAGAAAACCCGATTTTTGGGAATCCCTATTCTGAATGCACAAACCTTTCAGTACTTGAGTGGGCGGGGCTTGATAGGGCGGGCGTGGCTTGACAGCAAATTCGCGGGTTCCAGGTCCAGTTTTTTTATTCATAGGCCACATTAGAGGACCGGACCAACGCACATGTCCTACTCTTAGGGCCTTCTCCTAGGTTAGGTACTAATCAAGGTATCTTAGGTCACGATCAACCACACGTTTTAGAGGTAAATATTTTCTTTAGTTCAATATCAATTTTGCCGCATCCCGACCTTCCACAGATCCTAGCAAAAGTTTATGCATGCGATCACAGTCTCCTCAGAAAGTACAACTAATCTTTCATTGTAAATGGCAGTTAGTTTTATGATGTAAACCCAGAAAGAACCCGAGATATGTACACTTACATCTTGTACTTGCTTAGTTTCTTTTCATAACAATGGTTGTCAACAGAAACTTTTCCATTCTGCGACTTCTTTTCCATTTCTGTAAAAATATGGGCTAGGCATTGAAATTAAAAGAAATGTGCGAATAGGAAATGCTCTACTTATCAAACTCCTAGGCGAAGCGATGCACATTAATCAAAAATCATCCCCCTTTCCCTTCGAGATTTGATTCAAAGGGTTGCATATTGTTAATGCTATTATCACATGTTCTTAAAAAAGGCTCAGATCTTTTGATTTAGTAAAAAGCAAGGAACGTGATGACTACAAGAGCTCCCAGATTAGTACCGAAGTTCGCTTTTAGTATTTTTGAATGTTCTTGAACTCGGTATTCAAATACTTGGAAATTTGCACAAGTGCTCATTCGTACATTTTCTTTTTTTCTGCGCATTTTTCTTTAAGTTTGACAAGATAGTGCCGCTAAAAATCTGCATTCGCAAAAATATCCGAGAGAGTTAATTTACTTACAGTTTGCTGACTAGTTTATTCATTTGACAAAACTCCTTTATCTTGGTCATTTTGAAGTTAAAATTTTTTTCTAGGAGGCGCGCACAAAAGCAAAACAGCTGGAATCCATCATGAATCTGATGATGCAAGATCAGGAGAAATTCGGCATCACCAGTGAGGATGACATAAAGGAACAGCTGAACATGTACAATTTCTGAGAAAACCCTCCTCCACAGTTAAGTGTTGCAACTTTTTCTATAATTACTGGCATTGTAAATAATAAATGGAACAAAAATGAAAATACTGTGCAAAAACTGTTATTTATGTCGTGCAGTCTGTGTTGGTTTTGATGCGTTATTATACGTCTTGTACTAGTTTTTTTTGAGTTATTGTTGACGGCTGCGGTTAGTTTAGTGCGCTGATCACAGACGATACCCAGAATATGATTGTGAATTGATAAGCATACAATCAATAATAAATTGTTCATTCGATCGTCCAAATCCACCTTCCATACTTTGTTTTGATTCCTGGTGGCAAATGATGTCGTAATTGCATGCAGTTTACAGTCTGTCCCAATCGGGATCAGGCGAACCGCTCGCAGCGCTAGGTGTCTGCGTTGCATGTGCGCACGGTCGTAGAGAGCGAAGGGTTTGAAGAGGAAGCAGACAAGAAAGCCGCAAATGCTACGCAACCCTTGCGACACGTATTCCCGCCATGACAATTTTGACTTGATTGGGATTGGGACAAACTCTGCCTCCCACAACTACACCTGTGATATATCGTGATAGAAAACATGCAGCGTCTCCTCATCCTTATCAATTTCTCGTTGGCAACATGCGAAAGCCACAAGCCCCTGGCGAAGCCGTGGACCATTCAAATAGTTAGCCCGCATCGGGATGAAACAACAAGCGTTTACGTTGACATGCATATAAAATTAAATGCATAAATATTATAAAATTTGTACTCAGGCGTTCTCAGATACATTTGAACGAGGTACTACAAAACTGACCTGTTCAAACACGATCACTTACCCTTTAATTCAACTAGATTAACGGCTGGAAGGCGGGGCTTCGTGACTTCGTTAAGGCTAGAGAAAGATTAGAGAGCACGCGCGCGAGACCGTGGCCTTAATTAGGTCACGAAGCTCCGTCTTGTAGCCGCCAGTCCAGTTGAATCAAAGGTTACAAGCTCGCGAAAAGCAAAAACCATGCTAAAGATAATAGAAGATGCGGTAAACAAGGATTTGAAATATAAAAAAGTTTTTCTGCAGAATTTATGGCCCACGAAGACTTTAGCTAACAGGAAAAATATGTGAACTTCGAAGATTTTGTAAGCATCCCACATTGTTTCGCTTTCTAAACTCAGAAGCAATTACTGTAACAGCGCTAAAATTATTAGTCGCTATTCTCATTCGAAGACTAGATCGCATGAATTTCTGTAGCAGAAATATCTGAACACTAAGTAGGAAAAACCAGTACGCCTTTATCAGTGGTGGTTCCAGGATTTCTGCTCAGGGAGGGGGGGGGGCGAAAAAATTTCCTAAGTAAAGGCCCGTGGCGTTACGCACTCCGAAAGTTCTTTTCGAATGCTCTCTTAGAATTTTTGCCGGCCTATAGTCCCAAAAAATCAGAAAAAGAGAGCTTGGCGGCAGCACGCCTCCGAATAAGATTTTTTACAAGGCTATTTTGATTTTTGAATTTCTGGGATTAGTTTGATCTTATAAAAATATAAAAATGTCTCCCTCCACCTTTTTCTTCTTCCCCCTCCCCTCTCGGTACGCTATGGCCCACACGCTTGGAATCAGTGGATCAGCAGCCACAAGTCGGAATCGTAATAATCTGAAAGGAAAAACGCCAGTTCGAACAGATGCTATGTGAGTGAGGAAAATGAACAATACAAAACGATTATTTCTTGAAGATTTTACAAAGCTAGCAATGTTATAAAGTTGTCCCATAAGTCTTTTCATATTGGCAAAATTCGGCTTACCTCAGTATTTTGAATTAGAGCTCAAGAGACTATTTGATAGTGCAACTCAAGCTCTACACATGATGACTGCAAAACGTTTGGTCGCTAAGTGAAGTATGAAGCCGAAATTCAAAAAAATTTCCAATGCCCGAAAAATCGGATCTCAGCCCAGAAAAATTCTACGGACCTCCAACTTGCTCAGATAATCCCCACATCAGACATTTATTTGTTTATCTAAATACGCTACAGCCGCGCCATAGTGTCGGGTTATTCAACAGATTCTTGAAAAAATCATTGTCAGAAAATGTGTAGTGCTGTTACGTGAAAATACATTGTTAGAAATACAGAAACAAAGAAACAAAAAAGGCTTGACGCAGAAAAATAGGATTGCTTTTTTGAGACCATTCCAGTTTCAGGCCCACAATAATTTATGTTCACATTTGCTGGGTTTTTCCTTGGCTAGAAATCGAGAAACAAAAATGGGCCAAAATCGCGAAAAAAAAACCAAAAAATGTCGCTTATTCTGAATTTTTATACTGTCAAAATCTGTTATTTCTCGAAAAGACAAACACATAAGACGCTGAAAATCCATGGTGGTACTCACTAAGGTTTACTATAGATCTGTCTGTATAGGAACAGCCCAGCAACGAAAACATACAATTTTTACTTGCTCGATTTCTAGCAGTGAAAAAATATAGCATTTGTAAGCTTGATTGTTTTGATGTGGAAATTATACGCAAGAACAAGTTGGAAGTTCGTAGGAGTTCTTTGGACGAAATTTTTTTTTGAATTTTGGGCATTTGGATCTTTTTAGATTTCGGAATCAGACTTTGCGTGGATCACACTGGTGCAAATGTTCGAACGCATCTTGTAAAGATTGCTTTGCTCTATCGAAAGGTACCCAGTTTGTGAGAAATTTACGAAGGAATGGTTTATGGCAGTAAAGAATGAAATATGAAAAGACTCATGGGACAACCTAATACATACAAACACATATACAAAAATTGATCAGCATGATGTAACTCATACGAGTCCGTTCCATAAGATCGTTTGAATACATGATGCAGAAGAGAATGAGCTAAATCACCAGCTTTAGACATTTTTATGATAACTTCAAAATTAGCTCAACTTAGTAATTCAATGTCTGTCAAGGTATGCAAAAAGTTCTAAGGTGAATAAAGGTCCAAACATTCGATGTGTTACCTCCCTATAACAATTTTTTGTTGACATAATCCACTAGCGCAATCTGCGTCTGAACAATCGGAAGAGTTGTCAAGCAGAAGTTTGTCCTTTACTGGTATATAGCGGAAAAAACAACAAGTAGAATTCTCATACTAAATTCTGGATATATATCGCTTAAAGGCAGCATCCACCCAAATTGACGTTGGTAAGATTTCAAGGTTTTATAATAGCATGGCTCCCAACTATGTAAGCGCCCAAGTCCCCTTGCTAAAGCTAAATTCCGAAGCGAGAAAAACGCTCCAGAAGGTAGAAGCGGCCCAGGTACAGTGCTGGCCATAGCTATAAAGCCACCCTGAAAATCACTGTAATTCGCTCTCTTTTCTTCGAAATTGTCTGAAAAACCACTATTCTGTGTGCAAACTAACGTTGTATCATTGACCAGAACGGCTCCCAATTTCATTGGTTTAGGCCGGAGAAAAATTGAAAATTTGAAAAAAGGGGTTCCCAAGGCTGGTCACAGCTATAAAGCCACCTCTCATTTCCAATCAGTACTACGTTTTTTGAACCTGAAATTTTTTGTACATATACAACTTCAAAATATTAGACATTTATCACGCTTGGAAGCAGTCGCCTTTTCAAAAAGGAGATTCATCCTGCAATTTTTGCTTCAAAATGTATGAAAAGTTATAATGCTTGGAAAAACTGCCTTTTTACCGAATTTCCCAGCATTTGTTTGACGCGAATGAAGGTCTTAGGCTTCGCCGAGCCTTTACAATGGATATGGTGAAAAGCGCAGGAGTCAACATGGCTTAGTCGCTGATACCGATAAATGAGCCTCTACGCCACCTCCAGGTAGATGAGTTTTCGAACCGCAGAAATTGAGTTCTAATGCCCGAAAAGCTCTGTCACTTGCTCAGCACGTCGCCTGTACAACGATAGACTCGTGCGCATAGCTTGAACATCATCGCAACTCTCAGGATTTTGGTTCCGCCTTGAACCCTTTTCTTCCAAAAATGAGTGGTGCACTCCGCCTGATCATGACGCACTCCGACCTCTCCATCGAGCAAAAAACCGCTCAAAACTTCAAAATTCTAGTATTCCTGACAGTTTTGTAAGATTGACTTGAAGAAGAGTTTAAAGCAGTAAAATTTGAAGTCATGTGAGATACACTGCGCACAACCGAACTGCAGACAAAGCGTTTTGAGTTCATTGCTGCAAGTACGTCTTTGTAAAAAGCCTGACAGCTTCTGCATGAGTACGTCACCATGCGAACAAGGTGTCAACTTTCAACCGAAAATTTTCGCGCGTCAGAAATCAAGTTTCGCGTCTCAGAAGCGTGCTTACACCTCGGTAAGATGAGGCACGTTCATCAAGATCAGCGATTACGCAATGTTGAGTCCAGCACTTTTCACCAAGTACTGATTGGAAATGAGAGGTGGCTTTATAGCTGTGACCAGCCTTGGGAACCCCTTTTTTCAAATTTTCAATTTTTCTCCGGCCAAAACCAATGAAATTGGGAGCCGTTCTGGTCAATGATACAACGTTAGTTTGCACACAGAATAGTGGTTTTTCAGACAATTTCGAAGAAAAGAGAGCGAATTAAAGTGATTTTCAGGGTGGCTTTATAGCTATGGCCAGCACTGTAGCTCCTCCCACCACCGTCGGCTTCAGAAGATAAAAAGTCCAAAATCGGCTTATAATGTACCTAAAGTTGTCATAAATCCACCTTTCGTTCGTGATTATCAGATTGACATTTTACCTACCCTGAAGTCCGCTTTCCCGCTCATTTTCAGAACACCCACTTTGATGGGCGGAGCTACCCATGCCAATTCTACCTTCTGGAACGAATTTCTCGTTTTGGAGTTCGTTTTTCACAGCGGGATTTTTTGCGATTACCTAGTTAGGGGCCCTGCTTTTATACAGTAACCAATCGGCACCTTTAGGAAGTTGTGCTTAGTAGATGCCATAAACAGGGTTCAAGAACCACTTTGAGACCCTTGCTACAACAAGGAAGTATTATAGAAGAAGGCGCTTATGTGTAAAATATCGATAAAGTTCAACAGATTACTCTAATTGTCGAGTAATGTAATGCATGTTTGGTGCAGTCATGTAAAAAGAACGGAGGAGAGGACGCGAATCATACGGCGCAAAATTTTAACCGACCCGCTGATCATCCACGCAGAAGCAGGAACCGTTGAATACACTGCTCTTTCATCTGAATCGCTTTGTTGCTTTTTCTAGAAAAATTCTTGGAAAGTACGGCTTATGGGATACCTCGAAATTTACTCATATGGGAAAAAATTCATGAGAAAAAAATTGTTTGCTTTACATG